GCCAAGTCCTTTGATGTAGCAGAGTCTGTTTGGATGATAAGAGCATCTTGAGAAAAAGCCTGTGACTGGCAACTTTCCACTGGTCTGATTGGGCAGCTTGGAACTAAGCATGATACAGGAACAATCATATTTTAAGTACCAATTGGAAAGTAGGTAGATCAGCTTCATTTTACTTCAGTTCCATCTTGTCTTCTGTTATTGTTATGTGTTGAGAGGAAAAGCAAATGTTTAATATTATACCTGTAATTAAACAATGTTGATATGCTATGGAAAGTGTTTTATGTTTATCAATATTGTTTTGAAAGAGATGAATTTGCAGCTGATTAATTCAAAATTTCTAAACTGGAGCTGGTTCTTTCCTATAAAGGCTGTTTCAGATATGTACTTACCAGTATTTTAAATCCAGGGTAGTGTCCATGGGGGGTGGAGGGCTACTTTCATGGTGGTGTAGAACTGGGGAGACACAGGCTTAAATCCCCAGTCATCCATGAGGGTTACTGGGTATTGCTCCATCTCAGGGTCACGTATTATACACAGTTGTTGTGAGAATGAAATTTGGGAGGAGAACCATGTATACTACCTTAATCTGCTTGATCAAGCTGATGACATCATGGTTACCAAGTCCAAGAAACTTTAGGTTACATGTTTTTTGTAACTAGTGAGGGCTTGTATGTCTCACCATGAGACATTCAAAATAGAATAAGAACAGTGAATGAAACAAAGATCAAGGGTGAGTCTTTAGTTTTGCATGCACTGTGAAAAAGTCCAATTGGTACAGGAGAAAAATAGCAGATAAAAAACAAATGATGAACAACTCAAAGATAAATGGAGGAGAAGGGGTGGGTGATACTTTCCCCATTCTAATTAATACAATACAGATTTGCAAGTATGTATTAGTCAAGAAAAAATAAATCTTTTCCAATAGTTAGTTTTCTTTTTCTTTTTTTAAAGGAGGGGCTATTAAGGAAAGTGGAATACTTCATGCTTCAAAATCCTTCTCTGGCTGAACTGGTTGTAAATGTAAAGTACGTTAGTCATCCAAAAATAATTGGACGTGCACTAAAACTCTATGGCCTGTTACTAGCTGAAAGTCACACATAAATCCTGTTTAGAATGTGTGGAGGCAAACACCTAAACAGGGCTTGTGTGTGACTTTCAGCTAGTAACAGGCCATAGAATTTTAGTGTCATTCCAATTATTTGTTGGTGCATTAGCAGACTACTTAAAGTTGCTGCCACTTCTTCCAGAGTAGGCAGATTCCCAGAAGGTGTGGAGAGATGCTAGGGCTTTATGTGCTAGCTTCATCTCAAAGCACCCTTGCCCTTGCTGGCTAGAACGTCTGACTTTTGTGTGTTGAGCAGAAGGACCGACAGGGGAGCATGCTCTGAATTATCCCTGTATGATCAGGGTTCCTATTCTTATGGTGGTTTCTCTGTGTCTGAATCTGAATGGGTGCATATTCCCCCTTTAGACATTCCTGCTCTGCGTGCAAAAGTTTGAGACAGAGATGAGGATGCTGGAAGAGTGGCCAAGCCTACCCATCCCTCCATTCATAGAAGCATGGAGTAGTAGAGTTGGAAGGGACCAAGAAGGCCTTTGGGTCCAATCCTCTGCTGTTGCAGGACACCAAGTTATACCATCCCACTCAGATGCCTGTTAAGTTTCCTTTCGAGTGTCTCTAGTGTGGGAGAGCCCACCACCTCTCTAGGCAGCTGGTTCCACTGTCATATTGCCCTGACAGCAAGGCATTCATTCATGACAAATACCTCAATACGCCTTAACTTAAAATATTCAAAAAGCAAGCCTTATCCGTATGTTGCTTTATTTACCCCTAATAAGCATGGTGTTCCCAGTGGAGTCCTTGAGAATTGCGGATGGGTAGATTTCAATACTTCATTAATATCAGGTTGATTATTGTCACTTGCCAGAAGGTTGCCAATTGCAACAGAATGCTAAAGTTTAGATTGTATAGTTAACAGTGACTAAAATTGTAAATGTTTACCTCAGTGAAAACAAGGTCCACTTAGGATGTTATGTTTGGAAACGGAGGGACGCCTTGTGCATTTTTTCAAGTTCTGTTTGTGGCAGGATTTGCCTTTTAAATTCTGCATAAACATTCCTTTTGAAATAGTTTCCAACTAAGTTAATAGCAATTAGTGATTTTTAAAATGGCCTAGTTTCTTCTTAGAAGCATCTTATAATATGTACACTTAAATCTCCCTAATCTGAATTTTCTTAGTCCAAGATACCTATAACTGTACATGCTTAGACTACAGCCAGTATATATTAGGATTGCTTTTGGCATGTGTTTTTGACCATAGCAATGCAGTGCTTTCCAAATACTTTCCATTATTCAGACTTTGACTATCAGGCCTGATATATTTGTTTATCAGAGGCTCAAGTCATAGCTAGTGCAGGTTGAACCGAATGATGGTTTGCTTTCCTATTATCACCACCATCTCATCTTGGGGAAGGTAGGTAGCACTCTTGCCCATAGCCTGAGATGGAAGAAGATTATGTCCACTGGGCACTTTCTTTCTCAGCGACCACAGGAGGGTGCCAAGTGAGCAGGTAGCAGCTGCAGGTTGTTTGCAACCATTAATGTGCTGGAAAAGTGCAGTAAACAAGATAACCTGGTTTAAGCAAGTGCCTGGCTATTGGGTGCTTTGTTCCCCAACAGCAGAGGTCGTAACTCTACCACTGACAGTTGGAGCCTACATCCGGTTGAGGACAACAACACGCTTGTCTCTGTCCTAAAAATGGGGGACAGAGGAAGCGCTGTAATTTTGGCCCCTAGACATTATTGGTCAACCTGCCTACCCACACCACGTTTCTCACCTTACAAAATGTGGGGGAAATTATTTGAGCTTCCACATTCTATGCTTCCCACAACTTGAATTTATTCTGGTCTGATATTGAAACTCTTATTTCCATACTATGAAGGAGGAAAAAAGAAAGCATAAATCACCCAACATTTTCTATTTTGCCACTTCCTGTATGATAACGAGTGAACAGATATCTTTAACCCGATGTGACTTTGCTGAAGTCACAAAAAGTCCTAGGTTCAGTCCTTGACATTTCCAGTTTAAAGGGATGTGGTGGGACAGCCATCCAGAACTGGGTACCTGCCAAGTGTTTTGGACTTCAAATAGCATCAACCTGCACCAGCTGAGCCAATGGTCAGAAATCCTGGGAGCTGTAGTCTAAATTATTGGGAGGATACAAGGCTAGGGAAGGACTGCCATCGAGACCCTGAAGAGTCACTTCTAGTAAGAATTCACAGGTCTGGGATAGCTGAGCAGAACGCCTGACAGTACAAGGCCACTTCACATACTCAATAAAGTAGGTTTCTTGCTAGTCAAGAATAAATAGGGGAAATAGTTACCTTGGAATTTCCAGATAATTGCAAGCAGGGCTGACCTTTGCACTGTGAGGCAGAGTGAGCTGCTTGAGGCAGGAGATGCTGTGTGGCATTGAGCAGTCGAAAGGTGTTGGTGGACGGGGCTTCGGTGCTACGGTCCATGTGCCTTATAAGTTGCACCGTCCTCATGTGCCCTGGAAGTATCTGCTCTGTTGCCAGCATCGGAGGAGGACTTAACTGGCAGGTCAGTCAGATTCTGCATGTGGAATTTGAGTGAGGTGGAGGGACTCTTATCCTTGGCCTCAGACAGCAAACTATCTTGGGCTGGCCCTGACTGTAAGGCATTTTTTCTAGACTGGCCAAAACATTTTTTTCTAGTAGACGAGGCCAAAACACTATTAATGATTGAGCCTGCAGCATCAGAGAGTGGGGCTGACCAGAAACTGGGTAAAATTGGTGGTAGGTCCCCAGAAATTAAGCCCCCTTTCACATCCTGTGCATGCAGACCGTTGGCCTTTGACCGTGCCTTGCTGTGTTGCTCACTTAGGTCCTTGCCCCCTGCATGCCCCCCCTACAAAATCACATCTGTCCAAGGCCTCTTAAATGCTTGAAGAATTGCAAGTTCCAGCTAGCAAGTAATGCTGGCAAGGTCACTGAACACTCTAGGCTAGACTTTCAGGCTACAGTGCTAAACATCCTTACCTAGGAGTAGGGACAGGCGCTCTTGGCTGAACTTATTTCAGTGCAGATATGCATAAGATTGTGTTGTCAATCCCCCAAATTCAGCATGTCTTGTAGTATATGTTTGTAATGCGTGCAATTATATGCTTTCAGAGATCAAAACCTGTTGGTTTTACTAATCAGTACAAATAATGTAGGTGAACTAGACTTCTTACCATTCCTCTGGAATTATTCTCTATTCTCTGTGCTTGTGTTTTCCTCCCATTTACGGACTGTGCAGGCTTTTTAAACACTTAGGGAAAATAAAGTACATTGATTATTTTTATTAAGCTGGTTTTAAAGAATGCACCTCTGCAAAGCTTTGACATTCATGTAGTGGATGTAATCAAATTTAATGATCCTAATTGAATAATATTTAGAGATAGAAAACTATAAAGGGAGCTGGAGATTAGGCAGTTTAGCCAAAACAAAAGTAGTTCTTCTCTCCTCCTTCTCTTTCCCTACCTCCCCCTGTGCACCTGCTTGGAGAAAGCTTTGTTTCTTCAGACAAGGCCCATAATTACTCTTCTGTGCCTGATCCGAGCCTCCAGGAAAGGCCCACAGCATCTGTAAAGCTGGCAGCAAAATGGTATTTCCAGGCAGGCAGGGAGCAGGGTCGGCAGCCAATTCATGGCTTTGTCTGAGCAGCTGAGGACTTCAGCTGAGTAATGCCATGGTGTACAGTAACACAGACCTGTGCCATGAGCAAGTAACAGAGCGAGCAAGTGCTGGGCCAATATTTATAGACCACTACGTCGCAATTCTAGAAAAGGGGAAAGACACGCACATACGGAGGAGGAGAGTCAAAGCAAGCATGGACTGCAATGAAGCTTGGATTTGGAAGCAACGTTTTGCATTTCTTTTCTTTTAATTATGGTTGTTTTGCATTTAAATAAAGTGTGCTTGTTTTACCCATCAGGTTTAATCGGCTTTGGCTGGTCTATCATAGGAATTGTCTTCTGGTGATGATGCAAGGCAGCCTGCGGTAAAGGAAGGATTCTAAAGGTATGTGACTCCTTCTCCTTCTCCTTCTCTTTCTCCTGTCTCCATCAAATGCTGTCTCTGCTGGGTTGCATGAAGGGCCTTTTGAGAGCTGCGTAATCATAGGCAGAACCCAGCAGTGGTCAATGGTGAGCACGGCTCTTTGTTTATAGTTTCCCTCGTGAACATGGCTGTCCTTATGACTAAGTTCTACGAAGCAGTTGCAAACATCATTCTTCCGTTTGCTAAGGCCCCTGAAGATGACAGGTGGTGATGAGGAAGGAAATTTCAGCACTCTCATTGTGCCACAGGTGAAAGCCCTTAAGGTTGGAATTTATTTTCTATGTGTATCCTTTGTAATTTTTTGCTTTCCAGTGTATCTTGGGATGGACATTTGTTTGATGCTGTACAGGTGCACCACAAACCAGCTTCTATATATTCTCCCTCACGTCTTTTAAATAACCTTGAGTTGAAAAGGAAACCAAAACAGTCTGGACTATTTAATTTATTAGTGGAAACAAGGGAATGTTGATATGCTGTGATGCTCTTGGGTCAGGGAAAAGGAATTTTTCCCACCTCAACTATTATCTTTTCAGGATTTATATTTCTATAAAATATATCAAAATATGCCATCCTCTTCTGTTGCTTCCCCTCTTCCAAAGGTACTTGGATGCTTTACTTTTTAAAATGTATAGTTATAATGTTTTAATGTTTTTAGTGTACATGGCCTTATTGTTTTAAGTTGTACACTCTGTTGATGCCTTTTTAGCAGATTGAGTAGAACATGAATGTTAATAATACAGAATAAAAATAAAATATGCAAATAAGACCTGTTGGTTTAAACACAAGTCCACCCAAATCCCATATTAACTGGCACAGTATGAGTGTGTGCATGCATTTGTGTCTGATTTTGAGGACAGAAATGTCACATGGGTGAGCGAAATATCTTAAATCTGGATCCCTAGCAAGTGCACTGTTGGTACGCCTATTCCTTCACCTGTAATTCTCTTTTGCTCGAAAAATCAGTCACGTGCTTTTCAGCTTTATATGAGATTGGATCTGTCTATTTGTGTTATGTATAGTTTGTGTCTTATTTACCCAGTCAAGGGTTCTAATACTAACCTATACTGGAAAAGCAGGAACCTTTGCTGTTTATCTGCTTAATATGACTTTTAGCCTGCCTTCAAGGGAAGCAGTAACCTTTCAAGATATAAAAATGCCCATATAAGTATATGCTAATAGTTAGGAAATGATTTTTAATGTATACCCAAATACCTGTAGCATGTGAGGAAGCCTTTGCAACCCCCTCACTATGCACAGTTTGAACAAATTATGATTTATAAAAGCAAAGGCTGGCCCCAGCATTAGACAGCTGATTTGGGGAGTTGTGAAAAGGCAACACATAGTTTGTAAATGTACTGTTATTGCATTTCTACTGCCAGCAGCAGGAGAGATATTTTTATTAGACATTTCTTTTGCCAGAGCTTGTGGGGGGAGGTTTGCCTCCGGTGGCAAGTAACTAGACTGCGCTTGTGCCATATGCATCCTGATTTGGAAATGGGATACCTTTGGCTGCTCTGGTTCAACCAGCAAAATGTCTTGATCCAGCTCTGGCAAAGCCAGCAAAGGGCCCTTGGAAAAAGAGGGCAATTATTATCTTGCAGCATTTTCCAACATGCAGGAACACAGAAATCGTATTTTCTCTTCTTTTGGTCAGGTGTGGATTAATTTACTTTGAGAAAAAGTTTTCATTTCGTCAGCAGCTCTTTGTTTGGTTAAGGAATAGTCTGCTTAATATAACAAGAACGTTAAATGCTCTGCTTGGCACAGTATGAAAAAAATAAAATAAATGATTGCAGCCACAACAAAACAAATATAAATAACTGAAACAATAAAAACGATTAAAAGCAGTGGTAGAACACAATCCAATGGACCAGCCTCTTTTGTGGTAATCCACTGCAAGCCAGAGAAAGCTTGTCTAAACAGGGACATTTTCAGAAGACATTAAAACTCACCACATGTTCTGCCTCCTGAAGTGTGCAATTTGAACTTATTGCCAAGGGGACGTGCCCATTTTAAAATAATTTTTCTAGCATGGGAAAGGTAGTGCAATAAGCGAGAGTTCCTGTTTTCAGTCTTCCTTATTGCACAATCTCGGGGTCCAACTAAATGTCATATTGAGGCTGCAATCCCATACACTTTTAACCTGGGAATAAACCCAGTGGACGTGACTTCTCAGCAGAAATATTCAGGTTTGCATTGTGAATACATATTTACATTTAATGTGCATGCTTTTACAAAGCCAAATAGCATGGAAAAGTGGGGCAAGGATAAACTTTTACTTAATGCAAAGCAGACATGTTGAAGGAGTTCAACCCTTTCCCACCATCCTATAATCTCTCCCATGAAGCTACTAATATACTGGGGAGAAATTTCCCATTGCCACCAATGGGAAATTTCCTCAAAGTAATTCAAGCTTTGTAAGAGATGTCAGAAGAAAACCAGGGAAGAAAAGGTTAAATTCCCTTCCAGTCTTCTGATTTGATTTATTATCACCCCCACCTTCCCCAAACTGCAATTGGTAAAGATAGTACAGTAAATGCAAAGGTACCTTTAACAATACCTCTGCTTTGGCCCTCAGACAAACTATGATAAATAAAAACAGCACTTGAAATGAAGAAACAACAACAACAACGTAATAATAATAATAATAATAATAATAATAATAATAATAATAGTTTACTCTCCCAGGATATGGCAGTATTGCAAACAAGCCAGTATACTTTGTTTCAAAACTTCAGCTTGCACTGATCATGGACAAGTTCTAAGAACTGTAGAAGTCATACAGGAGCATTGGATGTGATTGAATTATTCGACAAGGATTGGAATTTGTTTGCATGGTTCTAGAATTCTTTTATGCACAGCAGTGTTAAGATTTCGCATCCTACGTATATTGTAGAAATTCTGTAATTTTATCAGAGCACTTTTTAGTGTTAGTTGGCTAATCCTCTAATGCTTTGATCATTAGACATGAGAGCTGCATTTCTTATAGGCATTTTTGTTTTATTTAGTGATTGGTAGTGATTAGTATATTATGTAGAACTGTATTTCCTGCACATCTATGTGCAAATACACAAGCACACGGTTTTGAATGGGTACCATAGCAAAAATAGTCCCATACTACACAAATTAGAGAGTGTAACCAGTGCTGACTCGAGCAAACAGCCATGTGGACTAATGAACAGAACAATAAAATGTTCCACTTGGATCACTAGCCTGATGTGATTTCATTCATACTGCTAAGATATATTAAAGAAAGGGAAGGTTATATTTATTTGCAAGCTGGGTTTCAAGAAACCTCAGACCAGACTGTCAACACTGCGACTACTCGTGTTGTTCGTACCCAGCTTGCCAAAGCCCTGGCTTTTGGGCTTTGTGTCTACCATACTTTCACGCAAGTGTTATTTTATTTATTATTTATTATTTATTAAAACATTTCTATGCCGCCCCTTGCCAAGGCCTCGGGGCGGCTTACAACATCGAATACAAAATACATTAAAACAATGACAATTAAAATATATACAGTAAAATAAAATAAGCCGCCCTGGCCGAATAAAATTCAATAATATTAACATTTAAAATGCTGCATAAATAAAAAGGTCTTCGCCTGGCGCCGAAAAACAAATAATGACGGCGCCAGGCGGACCTCTCTGGGGAGCGCATTCCATAACTTAGGCGCCACCGCTGAGAAAGCCCTCCTCCGAGTAGCCACCCTCCTAATTTCCTTCACTGAGGGCTCCCGGAGGAGGGCCTCTCCTGCTGATCTCAAGGGGCGGCTGGGCATATATGGACGTAAGCAACAAAATTAAAAAGGATTAAACATTTGAGATTTGTGTCTCTTTGCTTTTCATTAATAAAGCAGGATTTTTCCTTTGAGTAGATACTTCAGGCTGCAAATCGATGCCTGTTTACATGGCGGTGACTGTTGTTGAACTTAATGGGATCTACTTCTGAGAAGGCAAATACAGATGCATATCATTGTAGGGTCCAGATGGTTGAAATAAAGTATGAGGCACCTTCCATCTTGATTTTTCAGTATTTGCATGTATTTTTTTTGCTTGGTGCACAATAGAAAAAAGTGTGGAAGTTTCCTGTTTTCCCTGGCTCCAGGGACAGGAATCTTCAAATTTGATGGGGTTCAGTGTAAATGTCCACTTCTCTTTGTGCAGAGTATAGGATAATCCTTACCATTGACAGAGAAAAATGTAAATGATCCATATCCCAAGAAAAGTCTATGGTGTGAACTTGTGCCATCTAGTCCTGGAGGGCTATTGCATCGGCTGCAGCCCCAGTGACGGTGAAGGTATTTTATCCTTGCTATAACAACATTCCCAGAAGTACTACATAGTTTCTGTTAAAATTAGGTGTGATTACTACTGGTTTGATTTGTTCTTTTTGAGCTGTTCCTTTCTGCAGAGTCAGCTAAATTATGAAAACTAATTTAGACTAGACATGATGTGAAGGCATTTTCCTAAGTGCAGGTTGTTTGTAACTTGGGGTCTGCCTGTCTAGGTTCTGCATTGGAGCATATATAGAAAACTGTGTCTACTCTGTGTATGCACATAGGAACTTGAATGTGCAAAAGGCAACATTTGGGCTGCTGCTCGCTACGCACTGACTGATTATGTGTTCGATTGCGTGAAAATTGTATGCTTACCTATTGCAATAACTTTGAGTTTTTCTGGTATTAGTAGGCTCAGTAACACTAATGTTGCTGGATTTGGTGTGTTTGTCAGTTTTAAGTGTTTCAGTCTATATTCTTAATAGGTTTGTGTGTGTCTGTGTCAGTAAGAGAAAGAGAGGCAAGTGGAAAGAATACAGGAAAGGTGTCACTGTCTTCATTACTCATTGCGATGTTTGTGATAAATGATCCATGACTTAAAAAAATCACCACATGCTTTTCATTATCCAAATCAAATATATTCCAGTGCTTAGGCACCAGTTTCAAAAGAGTGCAGTTTTGT